TCTTAGATCTTGTAATGGCCATGTGTGGCTAAACTCATTAAGGATTGGTTGGATGTAACTACTAACTCCTCTTCTTCTTAAATATATGCATTTTGATCTCATTATTTGTGCATTGATTCTTCTCTTAACGCTTATATCGACTTGATCACCCGTTGTATGATTTTTGGTTTTTGAATCCAGTTGGAAAACGTTTTCGAAAACCCGAACTGAATCTTGCACCTAATCACTTCTTGTTCTAGGAATAGACTTGATTTGGTTAGTCACATTGTTCAAGTCATTGTTCTTAATGCGAAGTGTTAAACTCAAAACATAGAGGAATCATGTTTTGAGCTTAATGACTTTAGGATTCAATCTTGAGGAATCTTGTTGGATTACTTAATGAACGTGGAAATAATGGAATTAGAATCGCATTTATTTTAAGAACATCTACGAGTTAGCGAGTACTTCTGAACCAATCCTTGTTTCTTAACCATAGTTTTTACTACTTTTATTTTATTGCGTTGTTCTACCCTATCTTCACTCATTTGAAATCATAACAACATTCTCATTTAAATCATTAGAGCGAGAATTACTGAACACTCAAATCCATGAGGACGATATTTGAATACTACTTCGAAACTTGGTTCACTTGCCAAGTGGTGGGTTTGCGAAAATCCTCATCAAGTTTCTGGCACCGTTGCCGGGGATTTGGTGTTATTTAGCAATTCTTAATATTGTGATTTTGTAATTGTGTAAATAATTCATTTTGTGAATAGTTATAATATAGAGATATTTGTCTTGTTGTGTTTTGTGGACTCACCTTGCTGTGAAGACTTCTTAAAAGTGTATGCGAGGGAAAACTCCAGCCGAAGAATTGCATTTTGATCCTGAAATTGAAAGAACGGAAAGGAGGAACAATTGTAGCACAAGAAGGCTTAGACAGTTAGAGAGAATCCAAAAACAACAGCAAGATCTTCTGAGTTCTTCTACTTCATGAAATCAACCACACCTGGAAATAGAAATGGCTGAAAAAGGAACAGGCTTTAGTATTATATATATTATATAATGATGTAATTGAGCCACTATAATGATAACGATCCCAAATTGGTCTCTGTTAGTTTCTCTTACATTGGATAATTGAATTAGTTTTTGCAGGTAATATAATTGAATCAGTTTTATTTTAAAAATTAACCTAGTTAAAAAAAATACAATCTACAACGGTTCTACGTAAAAATCGACTTAGATGTATTTATACATCTAAGTCGATTTTGAATAAAAACCATCTTAGATATGCACATATACATCTAAGTCGGTTTTGAATAAAACCCGTCTTAGATGTGCATATATAAATCTAAGTCAGTTTTGATAAAAATCGACTTAGATGTATGTGCACATCTAAGACAGTTTTGTGAAAATTGACTTAAATGTATAAATACATCTAAGTCGATTTTTACGTAACCGACGTAGATATACTGATTCATCTACGTCGGCCTTATCTAAGTCGATTTTAAAATCGATGTAGATATGGCAAAATAACCGATTTAGAATACAATCCTTCTAGTAGTGCTCATTCACAATTAACATTAAAATTATGTCTAGGTATATGTTAAATATATTTATGTTTATATATATTATATCTATAATGACATTAACTTCTTGTATGTTATATGCAATATTTCTTACAGTGTAGATCTTTTATAACCACGTAATGACAACTCTTATTCCACCATGTATATTGAGAGGCTAAAATGTGCATAGACTTTTTAACTTTTCATGACTCATCTTAGATAGATAAGTTAGTTATTTAACATAATTATCCACTCATTAACTCTTTTGTATTGGTTGATGCCATGAAAATGTTTTTCCCCGAAAGCTAAAATGCGTATTTCCTTTTTCTTCCTACTTTCTTACAAATAAAAAAAACTAGAGAATGTAATTAATCATTGACTAACCCCCCCACGCATGTGATACTTAAATGCTTACACGTTTGTTATACTATTGCATCCATCAAATTATTGTTATACTTGTAAAATATACAAAAACAAATTTGAATTATGTTACTACCCTCATGAATAGTATAGTCAAGCAGTTTTGTTAGTTACTCTAGTTACCCTGTACAAGTGATATGTCAATTCGTTAGTCAACTTGTCAATTTCACGTTTTTTTTTTAATTATTATTTGTTTACCGAGGAGAAGGTTAGAGAATAAAACATCAAGTTACTAATATGCGATTCGGATGCAACCAACTGTGGTGATATCAGTTCTCTAATGTCTTGAGAAGACAATTTTATGTAAATAAAAAATCCAACTCCAATTAATTAACCTTGATTGATTTTTACGTTCAAATCAAATTTTCAATTTCATTTTTTAGAATTGCCCTTTTCTCTTTATTTATATTTAACATGTTTGAGACTTTGAGTAAACAAGACGTTTGAAAGATCTGAGAGAAAAACAAAGAGCAACAACCAATAATGATGTAGTGTAACTAACTTGTATAGCATATTGGGTCTTTCCCCTCCTTCAAGAGAAAACAACTATAGACAAGTGTGTCAGTTAGACTTGAATTGCCACGTTATCTTGAATCAGTTACCTGCAAGATTGAACAACTTCTGAGTCACTTGCTCCTACTCCATTCAAATGATCTAATTTGCTTTGTTTTTTAAGTTACTTCATAACACATAAAGCAAATTCGGAAGGTGACACAAATTTATCAACCAGGTATTACGTATCTTATCCAAAAACTATAATAATATAATTGAACCACATAAAAAGAGGCCATATGCAACTCGATACTCCCTCTTAATGTCGAAATTTAAACACTTTTTATATTCAAATTAAAATAGTACTTTATAGATGCTTAATTATGGGGTGTCTTACGAGCACATTAAATATTTCAGAGATATGTTCCTATACACAAAAGGTATTAAATAATGAGTCGCATGTCTCAAATTAGTGATACACAATTTTTTGCTTATGCGATCCACAAGAGAACTTAATGAAGCCTTAATATCCTTCCATTTCTATGTATTTTAGAAACTTTCCAGCTTCAACCGGATATGTTTAACTTTAAACCATTGATTAAATATTTTTAAAGACTATCTCTATGGTGGTCAGAAAAGAAAATTTCTATAAAACATCACAACATTTACGAGGAGGAACAATCTTAATAGTTAATAAACAGTTAAGTCACAGGTGTAGTAAAAAAATGATATTGACATGCATTCTTTTTTTACTTTTAAATTTAAAATTCTTCATTCAACATTCTACTATACTTCAGGTTTTTGTGTCCATTTTCTTTTAAAGTATATGAAATTAAATGCATTTCTACTTTTAATATGGTTAACTGTGAATGCCTTACACGGTGGAAGAAAAGTCATGCAAAAGCTATATGAACTAAATCATGATGATGAATACGGAGATTCTGGGCATTATTTATCCACATTGCTGATTAGCCTTGCGCTTGTACTTGTACCATAACTAATATATATGAATCTATTCTAAACTCAAATATGGTCACATCGTTTAAATAATTATGTTTGAGACATTGTTCACCTTAACATTTGAGTAGATATAAATCATGTCCGATATCAATGCTTATCGGTATGCAAATCAATGCTTTAAAGTGATTATTTATAACAATATATAAAGAAAATATTTTCTTTTAATGTTGATTTTTTAAGGATAATTATACTCTAATATTTGTATTTTATTTTATATATTTTTTAGTAATATATCTAAGAATAAAATAGAAAAAAAAAATTACATACAAAAATAATAAAATAGTAACTACTGACTTATTTAAAAAAGAGGCAAGAAGTGCCTTCTTGAATGCTAGTAATGATTAGTTAATTAATCCTTGTTTGATAAAGTTGACTCTATATATATTGCTTTGTATCAAAGCTTCCATCTATATATGCCTTCAAACCCACAATCTCTTAGCAACCACCATGTTCCTTTCACTCAGATACTCCTTCACGTTCCTCTTCACTCTCGTCCTCATATCATTATCACCTTCACGCATTGCTTCAACAACACCGCATGATCCCACATTCACACCACAAAGCACCAAAATAGCCATCACAAACCACATTGTTCAAGGTTTCACCAATGCTGGCAGAGGCTCCAAAATCTCAGGCATATCGCAATTCAAACGATACCTCTCTCGTTTCGGGTACCTACGAAACAACAACAACACCAGTTTCGATGATGAATTTGATGCCAAGTTGGAATCGGCTATCGTTAGATACCAACGAAACCTTGGACTCCAAGTAACCGGGAAGCTCGATTCCAACACGGTTTCTCAAATGATCACACCGAGGTGCGGTGATCCAGACACAAACACGACACCCCACAATCACAATCACCATCATCATCATCAAAATCACAATCACGTGACAAAGAATTTCGTGTTTTTCCCGGGAAAACCACGTTGGTCACGTCCCATGCCAATGACACTCTCCTATGCCTTCTCACGTGAGAACATGATCCACAGTTTGAGCATAAAGGAGATAAGAGAGGCTTTCCAACGTGCGTTCCTAAGGTGGGCTTCGGTTATTCCGGTTAGTTTCGTTGAAGTGGATGACTTTGACCTTGCGGAGATAAAAATAGGGTTTTACAATGGGGAGCATGGCGATGGTGAGCCTTTTGATGGGGTTCTTGGAGTGTTGGCACACTCCTTCTCGCCCGAGATCGGGCGGCTCCACCTTGACGCGGCCGAGACCTGGGCGGTGGACTTCCGGGCGACCGCGTCAGAGGTGGCTGTGGACTTGGAGTCCGTGGCCACACATGAGATTGGACACTTGTTGGGGTTGTCTCATAGTTCGGTGAAGGAGGCTGTTATGTATCCAAGTTTGAGGCCTAGAGGTAAGAGGGCTGATTTGAACATTGATGACATAAAAGGGGTGCAATCTCTATATGGCTCAAACCCTAATTTCAGATCCGAGTGGTCACTAGAGTCTGATATGTCAGCAAATCAAGGTGCTGAGTTTGGAGTGAAACCGTTCAGCTTGGCTACTAGTTTGATAATAATTATAATTGTTCTCATTCATATTTTATGTTCATAATTTGAACTTTTCTTCTTTTTTTCTTTTCATTTTTAGTGGTTGTACTTCTTTCTACCATTTTTATCTTATATTCTTCTAAATTAGAAAAAAAATTATTAGATATTTTAGAATTAAAAAATTAATGAATCACTATATAATATGTTTGGATCCAGAGAATGTAGATGTATTAAATACTTAAAAGAATATAATAATCAATCCTAATCAATTTGAGACGAATTGTATCTAGTGGATAATATATACATATGGTATAGGCATAAAATATATATATATATATATATATATATATATA